TAACTACTTAAATAACGATGAATTATTATTCATGCCTTCGGTTCAAGCGATTTCCTTTTGGTATCTGGTTTCGGTTAGACTCTCAGTCAGTGGCCACGTAGACACCTATTACTCTGATCGAGCGACCTCGGCTAGAGACGATTTAAAACCTAGTTGCTGGCCGTTCGGCTAGACAAAAATTTCTTGTGTGGCAGCGGCGTTAAGACGCTCATGAAGACGATGGAGAAGTGGTAAATGCATCCGTGATCGCGCCTTACGCTCAAATGACTTGTATTGCAGAAAAAGACCTGTTACCAGCGGCGCTAAACTCACTGTCGTCGTATGGTATACGGGTACAAACGGCCGTGGGTAAATCGATGGACAAAATAAGTCTGCAGACAATAAGGCCAACTTCCCTGTTAAGAATTTTGTTTCAAAACACCCAGCCATACCTAGCACCGTGGGATGCAACTCGCCAGACCCAAACTCTCTATGTGTTAGTTAGAAATCCACTGTCCCTAACCATTGACCCGCAATTCCATTGTCCTGCCGATTTTTTCGATACCATTGTTAATTTGCCCGATCACAGTCGACAAAATGAATAATACTGACCTCCCTTGTTTGCTTGATGAGATTTTTACGCGCTGGGTTGCAGGAGCTGTCAGAAAATGGAACACAATGACCAATGAATTTATTTTCTAATTCCAGTTCTGCAAAACGCAAGTTGTGCAGGTTGAATAACTCAAAAATACAATCCCAACCTCCCTCATCCTTGTCACTATTTCTCACTTCCAATGTCTTGCCCCGGAAGCTATGTAAGGATGCTCAAATATCAAAATATTTTTACAAAGTCTTCATTTCATTTGGGGCAACTCTGATTAACTAAATTCTTTTGCAAAAAATGAGTATTGTACTTCGGAATAGTAATGATGCTGACAATATCTGAGGTGTGTGATCGAGTATTACGTGTGTTTCTCCTAATAACAGCAAGATAACTGTGTTGTGTGATGCGGTGCTTAGACATGAGCACTCTAGAACTCACGATAATACTTTATGTTTATTTCAAATATCTTAGCTGGATGGTTTTTTTCCAATAGGAATATATGCTGTCACAATTAGTTACCCAATTTTCACCACTCTGACGGCCAGCACTAATGTTAGACGTTGGTTAATTCGTGTTGTCATATTTACTCAGTTCCTTTGCATAGACAGACATTTTTTATACCTAAGTCAGTAATTTGCTCGATTTCAAATATTTTGGATGTCTCCGGAATATTCCGATTTTTGAAATAAATTAGTATTTCTTAATTTGTTGTTTATCAATATAGATGTCAGGTCCATTTACCGGTTTCGGTTTGCGGATGATTTGCAAACATTCGCAGGTTTTGTCACCTTTCTTCTGCTAGGTCATCCACTGTATACCATTATCAGATGGTTTTACGAGTGCAAAAAGGTACTATCAAAACTAATTGGTTTATGACCGCCATCTTGATCATTAACTGCAGGAAAAATTTTAAACAGGAAGAAACGAAAAGTGGGTCGTCAGTTTGTCGCCTCGATTTACGTGAAATCAATGTTCGAGGTTTCAAATTTTGGCGCAACCGCAATGGGATTCTAGCCCATATGAGCGAGGGAATAACCTGTATATGGTCGGCACTCTAACCATTCGAGCTGTGAGGCATGATCGGACTAAACTGCGATAATTTCCTTACAATCTGCCAAAAAACCTATAAAGTATTGGTGTGTTTGCGACCTTGGAAGACGCATTAATTTCCAACTGATGGTAATATCAAATAATTAGAACAAGCAACAGGTGGTTGCGCCAGTTAGACGAACAGGTGGTCATGTTTCTTATCTGATACGGTTCACGTGCCACTAGAACGGCGTATGCGTATTGCGAGACGACAAATTCTTAACAGTTGGTATTTCCTTACATAACTGTTCCATTGTTACCTCATGTTTCCTATTACAGTGAATATATATGAGCTTCGAAGAAAAAGCATTCACTGTAATGTACCTTCTGTTTACGGTGTGAGCTCTCTAAACTGTGATAGGGTTCGCAATTTCGTCCACCAAATTTAACAGTGAGATTAAGCCTGAACGATTCTTAATTACATCCGGCTTATTTTCCAGTGACATCAGACCGAATTTTGGCAATAATGAATGCCCCAAAGATGTATCGATATGGTATTTTTACGAACAAAGGTATATTTTAGAAAAACTGGCCTTAGTTTCCAAGCGAACTCCTCTTACGGACTTATAACTCCTAATCACACCCCAGAGCAGGGGTTCTGAGTGTGTCAAATGCAGTCACCTTCGATAGTTTCAATGACCAGGCCGGACGCTGCTGTGCATACCAAACTTGCAATAAATCCTTTCCATAATTGTTAATGCAGCCAAAGCCATCTGTACTATTCCCCAATAGAACAAATAAAAGCGTGACACTATCTGCAACAAAACTTCAAAATTCCTTGGTCAACATAAATCTACCTTTAAAAAGATAATAAATTAACTGGGATATACAATACGTGACCTATCTCATGAAATCTGATAACGAATACTGCTGAGAGAATTTGTGGACGCCTTTAACGCTGAGCATTTGTTCGCTCATCCACTTCCTTCAATAAAATGACTTCTATTGTGCAGAAATTGTGCTTGCGTAATTATATCAAGTAAAGTACCAGTACATTTTAGCGAAAATGGACGTTGGAATATGTTCGTGCAATTGCCTATGCTAATGCATGTCCTTAATTCCGGTCACGCATCTGAGCGACTTTTTTATTGAAAGGATAGTAATTTATCCGTGAGAGTTTTAATAAACAGATTTAGCCGGACTATAAATTTTATTTTATGTCCGATGTTAATCATGGTGATCAACCTGCTACAACAAAGGTTATTTTTAGAAAACAAGAAGGTTTATCAATTTCTAAATGTTAAATTAGCAGATCTGGGCGATTTTGTGCCCTAAAGTACAGCATTTACGCAGATAGGGATTCCTTTGTGTAAGTGGGCTGAAATTCTTTGCCGTATGGAATATTCTACCTGATGCCACATAGATGACCACCACGGAACGGTCATTTTCAGCTTTAAACATATGAAACACTAATTGTCGTTTAGTTTAGCTTCTGTGCATATCGTACTTAGAAATAGAACAAACAAAACATTTATAGTTTTAGCAAAATGTCCGTATTTATAACGGCACTCTGCGGTGCATTCTCAATCGAAGAACGGAGTCTTACCGCGAGCGCAAACAGTGAAAATGGTCTCAGTATATAGAGAAAGGCAGGTTCTTGCTTTGACGGCAGAAAAATATTTATATTACTTAGGAAAGCGAAAGAAACGGCCAAAAGTGTCACATTTTTACTTGGCCTCGTCATGCAAAACTGTAAAATACACAGAGATCCGTCAACGGCAGTAATAAAGCACTTCCTTAAGAGTCAACTTATTAAGGAAAGTTTTCATATTGTAGGAAGGCATATTCTTTGCTGACTTTCATTATGGACAGCCATTTTCTCGAAAATGAAGTTTACTGTTTGAATGAGTCTTTGCATGTGACCCAAACGACCATCTTCGTGAAAAGGAGCGCCCGAACACTCATTACTTCGGCAAATGCCTCCTAGAATAATCGTATTTTACAGTTCTCAACAGACAGGTAATTCAGAATCTGTCTTTGTGGGCGATTGGGGGAAAACACCGAAAATCATGAAGTATTCGGCAACATTTCGAGGCCGATCTGAAACTCAACGTAATCAAAAACGAACGAAAAGTGTAAACTTATTTAACCGAAGAAAATCCCCCTCTATAAACAGCAAATGGTATGTTTACGATCACGCCTGTCAGTTCCATTTAAATTTATTAGGCACTGGCCGGCCTCATGGCAAGTCACCGTATGAAAACTTTTGTTCCGCATTGGTGAAATCAAGCAAAATCCGGTTTCTCTTGTTGAATCTCATCTCATTTAACTGAAAATAAACAAGGATAACACAAAACGCTGGAAAACTGCTTTGGATACTACACTCAGAATTTAGGCAAATAACACTCCGTCATACATGATATCACGTTAACAATTAAACGATATTTAGATGTAAACTTCACTGAAACACTACTATTAGACGTTATTTTATGTCTACCTTCATATTTGCTACGTTTGGGTGATGATAATATATTCTATACATTTAAAAAGGAAGTTTAATTAAATTAAAGCCATTTCTGACGTTTTTGGGATATTGCGCTTTTCTTAACACAAAATCAGCATTGCTAAACAACGCAACACTGTTTTTGATATTTCTTTGGGTTTTTTTATACTTTTAAATTTGTACTTAATTAACATAGACATTGGACTCAAGAAATGGTGTCCGTTTGCGAGTGATTGGCAATTATTCGTAAATTTCGAAACGTTTCATGAGTTAGGTCACTAACTGTATGGCTTCATTGGGGGATAACAGATTCTGATGAGTGTCTACTGCATTTCACATTGTGCTTTGTGTTATAACCAGTCGTCGGACATATGCCACATAAATGTGTCATTTGAAACTTTCTTTGCTCTGGAATGTCCGGCTGACTTACTCCTCATATTTTCATAACTCAACTCTATCCCAATGTTAGGGTTTGGAGTGACTGAAGATCACTCTTCAGACAGTTATTCAGTTGGTTCAATGAAAATCTAGGCCAGTCACGTAGGGTCGTTTTGGCTGGATTAAATGCTCGACTTAAAATGGCCTATTACAGAGAAACGTTAACGAAAACAAAGTATGGACGTACAGGAGGCAAACTCTTTTTTTCTTCGGGACTGCCTATGTCTTATTTTGACAGTTTTATCAGTTATGGGTTATCAAGCCAGGCCGTCCGACGCGCATGAGGTGATAATAGTTTGTGGGGGCAGCCGGGGGTCACTGCAGCTGGACAGTAGGGGGGCCCAGTTCTAAGCGTCGGGGGTGGTTATGGGTCAGCGGCCAGGCAACGATTGTCGCGGCCATCGACCGAAAAAACGGAGCCGGAGAAAAGGTGGGCTGGAGCGGCTGCTACAACTCCCCCCACCCAGTCGAAGTGAAGGCGTTGGCATGCCAGCCAGCCACAAACCTGTCGGGCCAGTGGACATGACGACCAGATCGTGTGTGGCGAACCGGAGGAGGGCTGCCGCCAGTAGGTGGAGGCACCACTGTTTGCGGCGGGGTGCAGTTTTGGGGTGAGGAATGGTCACTGTCGTCGATGTAGGCCGGCTTGACGCGATCAATACTGACTGTGTCGGTCTTGCCGTTGCGGTCGATGACAACATCTTTGTCAGATCGACGAAGGACTTTATGCGGCCCGTCATAGGGTGGTTGGAGTGGTCGTCGGACAGCGTTATGCCGAACCAAGACGACATTGCACTTATCCAGATCGGGAGGGATGAACGAATTAGCCGGTGACGCCCGAGGGGGCGTTGCGCGGAGATTGCGCATGACACTACGCAGCTGCTCCACATAACTGCAAGGTTCGAAAAACGTTAGCATGTTTGAGGGAGACACTAACTCACCGGGCAGTCGTAGGGAGTTTCCGTAGACAAGATCAGCGGCGGTGCAACCGATGTCGGCCTTGAGAGTGGAACGGAGGGACAACAACACCAAGGGAAGGTGATCAGACCATCGGGATGTATTGGGCTGGGCCATAAGGGAAGTCTTGAGCTGTCGATGGAAGCGTTCGACGAGACCATTTGCTTGAGGGTGGTACGCTGTTGTTCGGATTCGCTTGATACCGAGAAGGGAAGTGAGTTCGCAAAACAGCGTGGACACGAATTGGGATCCGCGGTTAGTGGTGACAGTCGCATGAACTCCACAATTGGACATCCAATGAGTCAAGAAAGCTCTTTCTACGGTTTCGGCACTGATGTCCGTAATGGAAGCAGCAACCGGCCATCGAGTAATGCGATCAATGCATGTCAGCATATAGGCAGAACCGTTATATGGTGGAAGCGGGCCTACCAGGTCACTGTGCACATGACTGAAGCGTGCACCAGGAGTGGCGAAAGTACCTGGCGGAGTAATAGTATGCCGATGCGTTTTGGCTCGCTGACATGATAGACAGGATCGGGTCCAAAGCCGTACATCCCGGTTGATGTTGGGCCAGACGAATCGGTCAATGATGAGTTTCACTTCAGCGCGGGATAGATTGTGAAGAGCGTTCAACACTCGTCGTCGTAAAGTTGCTGGAAATAAAGGACGTTCGTGTCCGGTAGAAAGGATACACGTGATGGTGTCGGTGCCAGTTGGAAGGGGGACATCTTGAAGGCGTAAAGAAGAGTCCTCGGGCGGTATTGGGGGAGTTCGCCATCCGATCGTTGAGCCTCAGCCATGAGCGTGACGTCTATGGCGTCCGTTGTGATGGAAGCCATCTCGATTCTTGAAAGTGCATCAGCAACCGCATTTTCCTTACCGTGGACATGCTGGATGTCGCAGGAAAACTGTGAGATGAAGTCAAGATGACGAATTTCACGGGGCGAGTATCGATCGGGAGAGGCCTTCAGTGCAAAAACGAGTGGCTTGTGATCTGTTAGAACAACAAATTCACGACAGTCGAGGAAATGACGGAAGTGCCGGATGGATAGATAGACGGCAAGGATTTCTCGGCCGAAGACACTGTAGAGGGTCTCTGCTCGGCTGAGCTTCTTCGAGAAGAAAGCCAAAGGCCGCAGAACACCACTAACAGTTTGCTGCGGTGATGCACCAACTGCAGTGCTGGAAGCATCTGTCATGAGAGTAAGCTGGGCATCTGAGCGGGGGTGGGCAAGCAGAGTTGCTTTCGCAAGCGCGGCCTTGACGTCACTGAAGGACCTGACGGCCTCCTCGGTCATCACTAGTTTCTTCTTGGGTCAACAGGCTCTTGAGAGGCTGCAGTATGGTGGCACCATGGGGAAGAAAACGGTGATAGTAGTTCACCATCTCCAAGAATCGGCGTAGTTGGTTGATGGTTGTCGGGACGGGGAACGTTGATATGGCCGAAACCTTTTCTGGGACGGGCTTTATCTCATCTGAGTTCACTTCCTGACCAAGGAAGATAAGGCTGGGGGCTCCAAACTCGCATTTAGCAGCATTGATTACGATGCCGAAGGAGTCGAGCCGTTCGAAGAGCTGTCGAAGATGAATCTGGTGTTCAGCAGCGTCAGAACTAGCCACTAGCAAATCATCAATGTAGGCGTAGACAAAGTCGAGACCTCGGAGAACCTGATCAATGAATCGCTGAAAGGTTTGGGTGGCATTCCTCAAACCAAAGGGCATACGAGGGAATTCGAATAACCCAAAGGGAGTGGTCACTGCAGTTTTCGGCACATCACTGGCCTCGATTGGGATTTGGTGGTAGGCACGCACAAGGTCAATCCTGGAGAATATTCGCTTACCATGCAGCGAAAGTATGAAGTCTTGGATGTGCGGGACGGGATCCTGGTTGGGGACAGTCACAAAGTTTAACACCCGATAGTCACCACACGGTGGCCGCTCTTCTTTGGGACAAGATGGAGGGGTGATGTTCAGCAGCTATCGGACTGTCGGATGATGCCGAGCTCAAGCATGTGTTTGAACTCTACCTTGGCAATCTCCAAACGGTCCGGAGCAAGACGACGTGGTCGGCAAGATTTGGGAGGTCCGGTTGTGGATATATGGTGGGTGACTGTGTGCTTGATGTCCACTTCTCTAAATGAGGGGTTGGTCAGGCGGGGGAACTGCCTGAGTGAGTGGAAAGGGCAGTCAGAGATGGGCATAACAGCGAGAGCGTTGACGCAGGGGTTCACATCGGATTGACAACGGGCATGACGGTCGGTGATGCAGTCGACGAGTCGGCGATTCTTCAAATCGACTAGTAGATTGAAATGAGCTAGGAAATCGGCGCCTATGAGGGTGACGGAAACGTCGGCAATAAAGAAAACCCATCGGAAAATTTGACGAAGGCCCAAATCAAGTGTGATGGAGCGCTGTCCAAAGGTGGGGATGCTGGAGTTGTTGGCAGCTGTTGGACAAAAAGAGCTGCGGGTTTTGCGTTCGGCCGGAGTTGGTGGAACCACTCTAACCTCGGCACTAGAGTCGACAAGGAATTTGGCGCCAGCGATACGGTCCCAGAGAAAAAAAACGGCGAGTGTGAACATTGGCAACCCTTGCAACAGCAGCGGCCTCTGATGGCGGGTGGGATCGTCTCCCTGAGGACGTTAGAGATGCCTTGAGAGAGCATGGCTGAAGACATCGTCGAGCTGCTCCTCCAAATTGCTGATGATACCAGCAGACGCTACGTGGAAATTGTGAACGGGGGGTGTGGGAAACGGAGGACGTACGGCGACGGTTTGGTGTTCGCCGCGGGCCTTTAGTGGTAATTGCAGTAAGCTGGGCTTTCAGGCGCATTAATACCTCCTCGAGCCGCTCCAAGCGTACGCCAGCTCCTTGAGAATTTGTGTTGATGAGTGACTTCTGGTCTTGGGACATCGCGCTGTAGGTCGCAGGAAGATTGTTGTTGTGGACGAAAAGTTTGCGGAATTCCAGGTTTCGGAAATCCGGAGCCACCAATTTGTGCGGTCAACGATGTGAGATCAACTTAAACCACGCACAATAAGTTCGTTTCGTCTACTGTCAGAAGTCAGGGAGCTGTGAGGACTAGTTTATCCTGTACACAGGGCAGGTTGCCGTAAGTTGGCTGTTTGCTTGCAACAGAGATAACCGTCCGTTCACGGAGAGCGTCAGTCGCGGTGTGGTGTTTACGCCGGGGTAAAAGTCTGTGCCAGTAGGTGGGGGTGACCGGTTGGATGCTGGTCATGAGATTGGACGGATTAGCGGGAAGCATAATTACAGGGGCTCACGGGTATCAAGCCAGGTCGTCCGACGCGCATGAGGTGATAATAGTTTGTGGGGGCAGCCGGGGGTCACTGCAGCTGGACAGTAGGGGGGCCCATTTCTAATCGTCGGGGGTGGTTGTGTGTCAGCGGCCTGGCAACGATTGTCGCGGCCATCGACCGACAAAACGGAGCCGGAAAAAGGGGGACCGGAGCGGCTGCTACAAACTTGTGTGCAATTGTTCGAAGAAAGTTTCACTTGGGTTATTCCAAGTTGTCATAGGCAAGTCGGGCATTTTTAAGTTAATTTTAAGATGTATGGAATTTTGGAAAAATGGAACTTCCTCACGCTCCTTCGACTGGTTAGCGTGTCCAATTGTTCATATCTTGAAAATGACCATGCGTGCCTGCGTGTTTCTTAAATCCTTATCATTTCCTGAAACCGAAATGAGCTTTTTCCTTCATTGAAATCTCGTCGTATATCACCGTATGAAGTATAATTGTCGCCGTGGAGGGCTAACCGAAACTCCCGCGTATACGCCCGAGATGAAAGCCTCAAATTTCAAAATACATAGACTGCTCGTCGCATAACCTTGGCTTCCGGTCGACTCCTGTTTGACTAGATGTTCCGTCTTTGTATTAGGCAGTGGCGTCAGAAATGAAAAGAGTCAGGGTCCATATATTCGGATATATTTTTTGTTGTCGAAAGACGCTAGAGTAGGTGGGTTAACTCATGAAATGTCAGCCGAAATTCTGAAATGCGTTTCCATTTCAAAAGGATGAATTAAGTAGGGTTGTAAAACTAGTCTGCCTGCAACATAATTATATGATATTTCAGTTATCGCATGATGCCGGCTTTCGAATCAACTCCTTTTCGGCAGCATGTTGGAAATATGCTCTGCAAAAAATGACTGCTTAAGTAGCATGCAATTTTCTCATTGATTCTCGATGCCTATAAAAATTCAAGTATAATTCTCGGAAACCATGCACAAAAATATTTATTATTTCGCACATTCTGTTAAACATGGCGTTCTTTTTCAATTTCATACTTAAAGGAAGAATATAGTTTGGGTTTTAAAAAGGTTTCTAGTTGTGCGATTTTTTTACCACCGTGAAATGTCCATTCATAAAACTCATGACTTTTCATTTACTAATGTGACTTGTAAAGTTAGCAATATGCTTTAACTCCACTGCTAAATTTTATAAACCTCACATGACTTCCTCTCAATGCATTACAAAAATATATGGTTTTCCATACGCAGAAAATATACGGTTTGTGGTTTGAAAATCCTGAATGCAAGTCCAACGGCAGGTCGGTTTTAAAATTATTCGGGAAGTGAAGACGTTTTTGAAAACCAAATCATACGCTTCCTTCGAGTAAAAAATTGGAAGACGTAATTTTCTCCTGAATGAGCCAAAGAATGAATATTTTTATGCATGTTTCTCATGAAATATAATTAACTTTTTAGAGCATCTAAAATCAGTGAGAAAATTGCATGCTACATAAGTAGTCATTTTTATACAGAGCATTGATCTTTGCAGTGCGCTCCCGTATCTTTCAGAGGATACATATTTCTGGGTATCCATTTTCGTGAAATATACCCCGCAGCTGCTGGAGTTCTGCCTCAACCGTCTCAGGAGAGCAGATACATCGCACTCTAGCTACCCATCCCTCGACCAAAATGCATTTAATATTTAAGGGAACAAAACTGTGAAAATCGACGTATTGTCCCGTCCAGGTTTTAGTTCGGAATACCCCACGTTGGTAGACCCATCCTCTTGTCAGTGCAGAAGCACATTGAGGAACGCGATTTCGTTGTTTGCCTCAAACTCTGCAGAGAATGTTAGCGTGGGGTGTGCATTGTTGAATTTTTGAATCAGGGCGTCTGAGTCGGAGGTAACATCCGTTAGGCAGAGAATTTCGTCCACGTAGCGACCGTAGAAGCTGAGGTCATTAACGGGTTCTTGTAAGCTTGTCATCTCGATTTTGCCCATGAAGACATTTGCGACGAACGGTTCCAGCGGTGAGCCCATCGCTACGCCGTCTATTTGTCTGTACAGTTGACCATTGCAGTGAAACTGGACGTTTTGCTTTCATCGTGTCAGTAGTCATTTAGCGGCTCTGACGACATGTCTAACGGGCAGTTCGTGTCGCGAATAATGTCACAAACGTATTTTATTTTTTCGGCTAAGGGAACAATAGTAAACAATGATGCTACGTCCAATGATAGCATCCTCCGTCCGTCAACGTTAATATCCATGATCGCATCGACAAACTCGTTGGAGTCCTTCAGACTTAGGGGGTAAAGATGACTTTGCAACGGTTTAAGCTTTTGGACTAGTCATTTTGCTATGGTGTGATAGGGCGAATTCCTCATATCCAGGATTGGACGTAGGTGTAGCTCGTGTTTGTGAATTTTTGGGAGGCCGTGCATTCTGGATATGGCCGTGCCCACTGGTCTTATTCGCCCATATTCTTTGCCAGATAAATGACCTCCTTTGTGATGAACCTTAAGAACCGACGTTAGATGACCTTCAGTGGCCTCGGTGCGGTCCCCGTCTTTCCCGGATTTCGAGAATTTAGTACGATGCGAAAAGATTGCTTTAAGTTTTACTTCGTACTCTTTTCTATCCATCAGTACAACTCCTGAACCCTTATCCGGCCTGGTTAGCACAATGTTTTCGTTATTACGTAGTTCGCTGAGGCTATCGAGATGAGTCCTTGTTAAGGGACTTTTGTTTTTTCGAGCCTTCCCTAAGTACTGCTGACAGCAATTAACCATAGTCGACTTCTCTAGGCCCGCTAGGTTTTAAATCGGCAGTCCAACTGAATAGGCTTTCGAAATGGACTTCTTACTCTAGCTGCTTAGGCATCCGCCGTGCATTGCAAAGCTTAGGACCAAGGTGTAGTACCTCTATGAGAGTTTTACCAAGCTGTACTGAGGAAAAGTTATGAATGTACCGTTCCGGATTATTCGGAAGGGCCGTGTGAGCCTTCACTAGTTGGACACTTCGTAGGAGCTTAGTGCACCTAGCCTCAATTCTTTTACTTCTGACAGTTTGCACGTAGTTTTCAAACTCTCTACTTTTCAAACTCTACTTAATTTGTCTTTTCGATGAGGGAACGAATTTCGAAATTTCAGCCGGCATTTCTTGAGTTAGCCCACCTACTGCTAGTGCAATGTCAACGCAAGAACCAGAAATATTTGTGATCTGCATTTCAAGGTTATAGCAGTGTCCTACCAAAATTGACCAACTACAGACAGGCTTGTTGGTTACTTCGAGTAGGAATACACGATGGCTCAACAATGTCCTTGCAGTTGCCTTCATTTCGATCCTTAAAGATTACGTAAAATTCACGTGAGATGATGAAACGAGAAAGCTACCTATCCGCTCATTCGATGAGTTTGCGAACATGGTGCGTGAACTGCAATCTCAACGGCCAGAAACATCTGAGTCAAATCCACTGTTAAATTTTATGAGCCTTACATGTTGTTCTTTTAATACTATTTATAGCTTTCCGTGGAGGGGAGACATTTGCAAACCCTAAATTCAAGTAAAAATGCATGTCGGGTACAACATTCTTCGGGAATTGAAAACGTTTTTTTTAAACCCGAATGACACACTTCCTTTAATTAATAAATTTGAAGAAGACGTAATTTTCAACCAAATGAGTAAAATAATGAATATTGTTACGAATGTTTTCCATGTGATAGATTTAAATTTTACAAGGGCCTCGAAAGTCACTGAGAAAACTCATGCTATTTAAATAGTCATTTTTTGCTGACTGTAGTTTTTGCAGGCGGCCGGAAGGAAATTCGTTCATTGGCCGGCATACTGAAGTAACTAAATTACCTTTTCCTCCGGGAGGTATGATCAATTGATAACAGATATCTGCGCACAGCTTGCGTGCGCACTACACCATGATTCTGAAAAGAAATCATTTATTCGCGGTGTTTTGCTTTCAAATTCCCAGAGTTGAAGCTTCTTGCTATCACTGTGACGCCAGTATAACTGTTATTTACGATACGAACACACGCACACTAGAGGAAATGGAAAGAAGTTAACATTGTTTGTTAGGCAGAATGGTATTACCGACAAAGACAAGGGAGACTGGAATGGCCAATTCTGGCGTATTAGCCGTCGTCAGTCGGCCATGCCGAAGCCCGAAGTGTGAAACACCCGAGCCTCGAACTCGCGACCTGTTGGTTAAGAAGTCCACGCCTCTACCCACCGGGCCACGAGTCCGTTGCACTGTCGGTTTCGATCGGGAATAAACAATGGTAGGGGGCGCTCGAGAGAGAGTCCTTAAGGCACAAGGGAACGAGTGAGTTCCGCATGAACGATCGGTGAGCGCCCCCTAACATTGTATATTCCCGATCGAAAACCGACAGGGCAACGGGCTCGTGGTCGGGTGGGTAGAGGCGTGGACTTCTTAACCAACAGATTGCGAGTTCGAGGCTCGGGTGTTCCACACTTCGGGCTTGGGTATGGCTTACTGACGACGGCTAATACGCCAGAAATGGCCATTCCAGTCTCCCTTGTCTTTGTCGGTAATACCATTCTGCCTATATATCATGCGCCGCTGTACGGCTGCTGGTATGGCTCGAGGGAGAGCCCTTAAGGCACAACGGAACGAATGAGTTCCGTATGAGCGATCGGTGAGCGCCCCCTACCATTGTTTGTTAAATTACAATACTCAACGATTAGTCGAACTGGACCCATGGTCAGTATTAAATGAAATTGCTTGGCACCAGGTCCTTCCTAATGCCCACATATGACGGGACCATCAACATTAGACGGCTGATAGATTACTTCTTTTGTCATTTTTCATTGACTTACGTGTTCCTTGAAATTTCAACTTCAATTTCGCAGCTAATAATATCCGCAGAACTGATTACGTAGGCTGAAACACTTCGCTATCATTGTGCATTGCATGGAATATGATATTTGGTTCGATAAATATAGGACTTCGGCAGTAGAATTTTGTAAATATGAAGACAATTTCTCTCGTCTGCAATAGGGTGCTAAAGTGAAATATTCTATTTAGAAAAAATATAGGCTTAATTGGAAAACATGGTGTCGTCATTGGCCTCGAGTAGGAATCGGTTGATCTGCGAAAATAAGCACTCACCATTAGGCGAAAGGGTGAAGTTTAGGATGTGCGAGAGGGGATATTGGTCAGAGCTGCTCATTGGATCCAACGGCCGGTAGTCGTCACTTGGTTGCCAATCGCAGTCTTTTTTGGAAAAAGATGGTGCGGTGATGCCCAGCCGCTGTCAGGCTCTCGGGTGATGCCGCAGTCAGGCGTGTGTTCAAACTCTGCCTCGGCAATCTTCAAACAGCCCGAAACAAGACGACGCGGTCAGCAAGATTTGGGGGGTCCGGTGGTGGAGACGGGGTGAGTAACTGTGTTTGGTATCTACTCCTGGAATTGAGGGTTTGTTTAGGCGGAAAAAATGTCTGACGAGTAAGTGAAAATGGCGGTCTGAGATGAGAATAACGGTAAGAGATCTATGGAACGTATTGACTTCAGACTAGCACCGCGTACGAAGATTTTTGAGACTGTCCACGAGTTGACAACTTTTTAAATGGGGAATCGAATTGAGTTAGGAAATCAGCCCCTTTGAGGACGACGGAACCTTGGGGATTACGAGAACCCAGGGAAAATTCGTCGAAGACCCAAGCTGAGTGAAGTGGAACGCTAGCCAAAAATGAGGATGCTGGAATTGTGGGCAACCGTGAGACAAGAGGGCTGTGTGAACGTTTCCCCGAGATCATAGATGACTTAGAAGAGTATGGCTTTAAACATGGTGGTGCAAATGCGACTTGGAGTCGATGCATGCGTATGATAGATCCTTGAGAGTTCGGACTGAGGAGTGAATTCTGGTGATGTAACATCGCACTGTAAATTTCCGAATACAGTTGCCGTGAACGGAAGGTTTGGAAACTCCCAGTGCTCAAAAAATCGGAGTCATCAATGTGAGGAGCTAATGAATGTGAGACCACATTTAACCACGCACAATAACTCTGTTCCACATAACATCAGACGTCCAGGAGCTGTTTGAACAAGTTCATTTTCTACGCGAGGTAAGTAGCCCTGAGTTGTCTGTTTGCTTATATGTCACAGTTAAGCGTCCGTTCGTCGCCGTGGGTTGATAACGGGGGTGCTACATGTCCCGGTCAGTATGAGGCATGCCAAATTGAGTGTTGAGCATGTGATTGGTTGATTTGGTGGCGGAGCCGCGGAAGCATGTTCACACGGGTAACAAACTAGACCGTCCGGCTGTGAACGTTTGTGCATGCAACTGTGACTCATTGCATCTGAACAAGTGGCGCCTAAACTCACTTCTGAGGGGTCAGCGGTGTGCTTGTGGGCTGGCGCGGTCGTCTCGGTCATCGACTAACAAAGGTGCTCCGTAAAAGGGGGCACCATAGAGACTGTGCCAGACTTTTGTACGACTATTTTTAAAGGAACGTCGAAATAATTATGGGCGGTAATAAATTTTTTCGAATGATTGACTTTGTGCTTTCAGAGTATCAACAGATGTGGGTCAGATGTGGTTATGTAGCCTCACCTGAAGTAAATAAACCTCAGCCGCCTGTAAAAGGGGGCCGGTGGTACCTAGGGCTTCTACAGGTGGCACCGAATTTAAGTTATTGTATGCAAAAGAAGAGCTATTGGGAATGCGCGATTGTACTTTGAGTGGTTTAGAAATAGTTGCCCTAACCCTAACCCACAACCCCAACTGTAACCCCTAACTTTAACCCCTAACCCCAACCCCATCAATATTGCGTCCATGAGGTGGGGTTCATAACCACATCCTACCCAGATATGTTGAAAGCTCCGCGCGGTACAGTGTAGTTCAGCGTCATTTGGGAGAAACTTATGTATTTCATCTTTCAGCTCCCTATTGCTTACAAGCAACTGAAACATATCAAAACGTTGAAAAGGAATCATTAAACAGATAGGGAAGAAATATCGAAGGGACCTAAATTAGTGACGTCACTAATTTCGTTGTGTTGCAGAAAAG